TCCGAAAGTGGTGTGTTTTGTACATTTTGACATCGAAATGTGCTTCGCACCACAATGGCGTGCACTTTTTCGAGATCCGAACCTCCAAAAGTGGTCCGAACCCCTAGTGTTTTTTTTAACATGTTGACTTATAAATGTACTTCGCGCCACAACGGCGTCCACTTTTTCGACATCTGAACCTCCAAAAGTGGTCCGAACCCCTTGTGTTTTAACATTTTGACTTGGAAATGTGCTTCGCGCCACAACGGCGTGCACTTGTTCGACATCTCAACTTCCAAAAGTGGTCCGACCGCGGTGTGATTTGTACATTTTGACATCGAAATGTGCTTCGCGCCACAGCGGCGTGCACTTTTTCAACATCTCAACTTCCAAAAGTGGTCCAACAATGGTGTGTTTTGTGCATTTTGACTGGAAATGTGCTTCGCGCCACAACGGCGTGCACTTTTTCGACATCGCCACGTCCAAAAGTGCTCCGGCCATGGTGTGCTTTGTACATTTTGACTTGGAAATGTGCTTCGCGCCACAACGGCGTGCAATTCTTCATCTCTCATCTGGCCAGCTGGCTCCGCACCCGCCGCTTTAGCGAGCCTACTTTTGGACCCTCCGGAGCCCCAAACCATTGGAAAAACACAGTGTTTCGCGACTTTCCTACCTTTTCTCGCATCTGCATCTTCTTTCTTCTTACTCTTTCTCTTCTACTCTTCTTTCTTCTAATCTTTCTCTTCTCTCTGCCTCTTCCCTGCTCTGCTTTTCATCTGTCCATATTGTCGGAAGTTTGACTTCTAAACTTCCTTCGATCAGACAGTTTGGGTGTGCTGGTGATGGTAGGCATGCTGCCTTTTTGGACGTGGTTAGATAGTAGAATCTCCCACGCCCCAAGAAAACTTAGGGAAAGCCACATATTGAGCGATTCTCTACATCGCCTTGTACCCCACCGTACATTTTTGTTTCAGGACAAGTCTTTTTGCGCATTGCTGCAGTCAGTATATGTTGACATTGATGATCACGGTCTTCTGTACAACTCTCGTATGTTACTCCCTGCAGCTTGTTACTTGCTTCCACGTTGAGGACATGCAGTGCTTGTCTCTTCAAAGGATTTGTCCCGATGCCAAGGCCAGGCAGCGCCTGCTACGACTATATGGTGAAGGGTTTCAAATAGTGGATCGTGAACATGCAACTAAAATCCCCAGATGCGAGTGCTTTCTATGTGTGTGTTGAAAATTGATTTGTTGGTTATACCCCAGTCTCATTTAATATGTTCCTTTGATGTTGACGGTTGGTTGAAGGTCAACTGTAGCAATGCACCTTTTCATGTAGTTTCTCCCCATCATTTTGTTTCTCCCCATTTGTCGGCCGTTCTCTCCAACATATTGCCAGCTTCGAAGGTGAAGGCCCGCATTGTCCCACAGCATGCGGAACACGTGGAGGCCCTCTGGAGCTCCTTTTCACTTGTTTCACCAGAAACCCCTGGGGGAATCAGGTGATTTGGTGTCATATATGTCCTTGTTTCCCCCTGCTTCATTGAAGATCAGGGGGTACTTTGGTCTTCAATGCCTCCATTTTTCCCATTTTCCGGGTGAGTTGGTGCGGTTCAAGCTCGGGAACCAATCGTCTTGCGGGACTAGCAATCACACCCTTGAACTACACCCATCCCAATCCACATCGGAGGCCTCCCTTTTTGTCTATCTCAAATTGGGAGGATAACACGATACCGAATTTTCAGTATCAGGTTTGAGCGAATTCTCAATGGCTTCAATACCTCTTCGTGGCTATGCGGTGAAAGTCAAAAGTACCAACTGTCCATCGCTGGCAAAACGCCACCCAGGTCCACGACTTTGACCGCTACGTAGGATCCGAAATCCGTGGCTTGACAGCACCCAAAGCCGCTCCAAAAGATGGTTGCGAGCTAACAAAAAAGCATGGTGGTTTAACCCACGGCCATGGGGAGTTAATTGAATTTAAGCATCAAAAATACAAATTCGATTCATGAACACTGGATTTGATGTGCTTATCTTTTGAGTATGTAAAGGATATTTACGCCCATAAATGATGCTGGTTTAACCAACAGTCTTGGATGTGACCAAGCAAGACTTGGAGATCTACACAGGGGAAAAAGGGGATATGTGTTTGTTGTTCACTTTTTTGTTTCTATATTTGCTGTTCATTCATATATTGGTGATGTTATTATCAAATATAGGGATTGAAGCCATTTTAATGATGGATTTGATGAATAACTAGTGGATTTGCTGGCCCATACGAGTGGTTTGAAATCTGCTTAATGGTATGATGATATTCCATGACATGCCAAAAACAAACGCTTGAAATCGGTCGCATTTGTTCAAGCTGGCACTAACATTAACATGCCAACTGTATGCGTTATGTTCCCAATTCATAGTTTGCTTAAACCGCCACTTTTGGCTTTCCCATCCCCCGTTGGGCTGTTAGATGTGCCAGGTACGAGGTTTGCGCGGATTGTGGCCGAGCTACTGGAAGAGGAAAACAGGAGCACGGGTCATAAATTGGCACCGAAACATGGGGATTTTTCCATCGACAACATGATTGAAAAAGGGGGGGTATGGTTTGATCTTTAGTTGGGGATGGAATGGTTCACCAATAGTGTTTGATATCGTTGACTGATATTGTAAAAAGTTGAGAATATAGTGCTTGAGCCACAATAAGAAGCGATATTTCATGGCGGTACTGGACATGGTTGATGGGATGATCCTACCATGCTGCTGGCGGCCAAGCGTGTAGCGTTAGGACATGAGAAAACGGGCAGCCAACAGCCATAAATTCACATCAGCACATGCGAACGGACACCGTTGGGGACCTCACTCCCAACAAAACAAGCAGGAAATTAGAAGAAAAGTTTGCCGCACGTGAGAACACGTGGGCCCTCTCGTTCTTGATATTATGGAGTTTTTGCTGCAAAATACATGCGTTCTTTCAATCTGGAGGACATCCAGCTAGAGCATCAGAAAACACAGCTATGCGGCATAGCTTGTCAATCGCACAACAGCACAAAGCTTCCAGCTTTAATTGACAGCACACATACGTTGTGCTCGCCCCGCAGTCAGCGCATGGTGTGGAAGGCGTTTGTTTGGTGGATCCAGTCATAAGAATCTGACAAGTTACAGTCTAATCAAGCAGTTATGGGTGACCGGGAAAAAAGATCGAACCAAAAATTGGAGATGTTAACAGAAATGGGAGGTAACCTAACACCGGGAGATGGGGATGGGGCTGACGACCTGACCACATGTTTTAGCTATTTTTTGTGCATCATGCCAGCGTGGCAATGTGTTGGATCTCCATACCGACAAGCCACGAACGTACCCAGGCGATGTCGGTCCAAAGCAAAGGCGAGAGCACGGTTTGGGAGCCCAGTGGTACATCCAGGACATGTGTGAAGCATCACGGAACCGGGCAGGAAACTCATGTGGCTATGGAAAATGGACCGATTATAGGCGATTTACCTATTAAAGATGGTGGTTTCTCATAGCTATGTCAAATTACCAGAAGGGGTACAGCAATGAGGCTTAAACAAATAATGAATTCATCCAAGGGTTGTTGTGCTTTCTTTCGTCAATGCGTGAATAAGGTTTTTCAGTGATCCATCAAAGTGAAGGTTTGATCCATCATAAATGATTACAACAATGATCGCACAAATGGTGGATTTAACAAGATTGGAAGATCATCGAGCCTTACTGACCACGGGGCCCAGAAAGATGTCCTGGCGTCTGGTCTTAAAAACAATTTAAAGATATAGTTGCTCTTCTTGTGGCCCCCCAGGTCAGGTGATGTACAGAGATGAAGAATCTTGGGAATACTACGTGGCAAAATTCCGCGGGCCTTCGGGAGAGAACCAGCGTCGCAGGGGTCAGCTACCAAGGTACAAAAAGCCTCGCTGCTGTTTGTGCTGGTGCTGCAGAACTGCGCTTGTGCCATCCTGGTCCAAAGCCCCAATTGCGCTGGTGTTTATGGTTGGTCGTTGCTCATGGGCCATCCCCGAAGTCAACAAAATCTTTGGGTCTTGGGGTCCAAAAATACAGGACGCCCAATGGCAGACAAGCCAATTTTGTGGGACCATCTACCCCCGCTGACCCCTTTGACATCCACGTTGCATGTTACTTCCGTCTGAGGTGAAGCAGAGCAGAACACACTCTGCAGATTGGGCCATGAACCTAGCGCTTTGAACAGTGCCGTGGATCAAACCGAACCAGCCGAAACGGGTCATGGAAACGGCCACCACACCAGGTGCCACAGACGGGCGTGATCCTACAAGAGATGCTGAAGGAGTGATAAATGCCGATGATTTTCCGCATTGGGGCATCAACATCCATAAGTGTCAGGTTTTTTGGGCTTATGGATGAACATAGCGATAAAGATTCAACCAGCACCAAGATTTATTGGCCCAAAAATGGTGAGATTGCCTATTGTTTTCACCAACGCTGGGGAATTCTTCCCGTTATAAATATGTTTGGGGATGTGCCATCTCACTTCTGCTTTTCCCGGACGTGGGGATGAACATCCAGGATGTTCCGCCGCAGGATCTATTTATGCATGTTGTATCGGCTTTACAGCAGGTGGCTCAATATCAGCTGCATATATATATATGTGTGTGTGTGAGTGTGTGTGCGTGAGTGTGAAAGGCATGGCTCCTGGCGGTATATGACAGAGCAGAGCGCAATGTGTATTATGGAAGTGGGGTATGCCACCAGATGATGAGGATGACCAAAGTTGCTCCATGTTTCCAGGTGGCAACCACCGAATGGTTCTGCCAAAGATCACGAACTGAGATGTTATTTCCCTTGATCAATGAGTCTGGTAGTTTCAATATCAAGCTCTTCCCCCTACCGGTTATGACTCCCCCTTACTGTCTTAGTGCCACGAACGAATGAAACTCCTTTCCTCGTCAGGGCATCACCAGCCTTGTGCTGGCCGTTTTGATGGGTGAGTCGATGCAAGGTGCCAACGGACGAGGTATTTGCCTCGATGACTAGACAACTATAATGGGGTGATGTTAGTGTAGACAAACCATCCCCAAATGTATCAAAATGGTATAAACCATCAAAATATGGCCGGTTTATTATTGCTTTACTAACATTAGCCAACTGAAGAACCAAAGTGTGTTTCTTTTTGGGGTTGTGGAAATTGGGATGGGCACATGGAAACGAGGTTTATGGATGAAGCATGGGCGGTAAATAGGATGGATGGATCTGGTCGCGCGCTTACTGGCTGACAAAACTCTACTGTATAGATGTATAGTTTTTGTATTTAATTTATGCGGAATATCATCCCGGCATAGGGTTGAATCTGGTGTGGGAATCATAAGTTCCTGTGTGGGCACAGGCATGTGACGTTGTAAGTACCCTTAGCCGTTTGGGGTTGTAAGCAAAAATTCATGGCATTATGTGGCTAACCATGTGTGCCAGGGACCATCCTTTCGTGGCATCCAGGTCTTTATTTTTAACCTTGGCCAATATTCTCCTGGATTACTTCTCGGTGACATTGAGATCTCCTCTGCCTGGTTTTAAACCCCCAGCTATTTGACCCACGGTTTCAAAGAACCCTCCAATAAACCGTGTCATATTTTCATGGTTTAAAACTCCATCTAGTCATAGGTTTAAGTTCCATTAAGTTCGCATTTTGCTCATTTCATCCAATCTCATCCCCATCTCTTCACGGCGTTTCACCATTGAACGGTCATCAGGCGCACTGGATCCCATCGAGTTGCTCCAGAGTTCAGTGCCGGCACCTCAACCCGTGAGGCTTACCCGGGAGATCCATCAAGATCCATGGGGATACGAGGGCTGGATAGGTATAAAGTCAAACTTAATCAAAAATGTGGATAGGAAGCGTGAAAAAAGTCAGGGGGAATGATCCAAGTTCTTGGTCCTTTGTGATAGGGAAACCATTGGCATTACCAACGGTATTGGGGCACCCCTAATTTAATTTAGGAAAACGACAATGCCTGTTTAATGTTGGGATATCCATCATCATTCAGAAAGCTGGTTCAACCCATGGCAATTTCACTGGTTGAACAGAACTTTACCCAACAATAAATCAGGATTGAACGTCTGCGGCGTTTTACCAACCCAAAAAGATGGGATTGGACCATGTTAGGAAAGCCGATGCGATTTTTACCAGCAAGAAATGAATGTTTCACAATCAAAACATCAACAGTTGTAGTTGAAGAGGAGTTACTGGCAAGGTTTGAGATAGATACGTGCGCGGAAGTGTAGATAGAGTCTAGAGGATTGGCCCAAAAGAAGAGGTGAACCTTGGTAAACGGTTGGTTCATGCGGTATTTCCCAACCATAAACGGGGGTTTTAAACCAGAAAGTATTGAGGTGAGCCTTGAAGAAGAGAATGTGAGCGGGCATAGCAGCGAGATAGCCTGGTAAATGGTTGATTCAGTTTATTGCTGTGCAAAATGTTGGTCCCATACAGGATATCTGATCCTTGAGGCCCTCTGTTTCAGCTGGATCAGAAACATCACCGTGCAAGCTACGGGTTGGGTTTCGAGAGCCACCACCTTGGCGCCCAAGCATTTCGAATGTTCAATAGCTATGAGGCTCCCCAGGCGATGCTGATAGGCTGATAGCGAAGATTTGCCTGGAACCCCATGGTTCTGAGCCATGGCAGAACTGTTTGATCCATTGCAAGATGCCCCCAAAGATCAACTTCTACTGGGCGAACTCTGGGTTTTGATCTCAAGGCCTGCACTGCTTTATTTGGTGCAGAATAACCTCCAGCTCTGACCTTAATGACGAGTTCGACAGTTGGTTGGTGCTTCAGTTTGGTGATTTTTATGAAGGAATAATATTATTGATTTATGATGGTTTATGGTGCATTGAATATGGTTTATTAGTGGTTTATTAATGATCACTGTTGAATATTGGATCATGAAACACAATGAGCAACCTTTCTTTGTCCCCATGGAGAAGCACTTCCATTGAGGTACGTAGCCTTGGCTTACTTGGAGCCTGCAACCTACACAGCTGCACTCTGAGAGGTCTAGACAGGAAAGACACCGTGGCAAACCTGGTGGGAAATCTAAGAGAGGCGGTTTCAGTCGGAAAAATGTGCGGTTTCAGTAGGATGATCAGGATGATCAACCAAACATTGGACCATTTCCACCATTTTACGTCGCCAGAGTTCCCTTCTCTCAGGTGACTTACCAGTTGAAGATCTTAAGCACTGCCGTTTGCTTCGCCCGGGAAACTCAGAGAGATTCTGAGATCTGGGCCAACCACTTCACAATTTCACAGTCATCACGGGTGGCCCATGAAGTCTTAATCATCTAAGTGTCATCAAATCTCAAAGTCCGAAACTGCCAACCTTTCACCAGACCAAAATTTCATTATAACTTCATAAACCATCTCGAAAAACAGTGCTTCAAAGCCAATCTTCACATGATGAAAAATTTCAAAAAGTTCCTTCAAAAAGTTCCCGTCAGTTCCCTCAACATCAGTTCCTTCAACCCAAACCCCCCGCACTGTTCCAGCCGCCTTCTTCGCACCAGTGCCGCGCAGTGAGGTGCTGATTTTGGGTCGGAAACTCACACTGCAGAGGTGGCTCTCCCTGGGGCCTGGCACCTCAGTGGGCCATAAGGGAACTCCATAACTTGATGTCACAGATAGACTTCATTTGGAGGTTTCCAAAGTCATGTGGGTACCCCTAGTTATCATACATTTATAGATAGGATTTTCCATTATAAACCAACCAGCTTTTGGGATACTCCCATTTATGGAAACCCCATATAACTCATTATAACACGAAAAATAATGATAATAATGACAATAATGATCAGACTAGTAATGTTAATGATGACTATAGTATAACTTAACGATGGTAACAGTAGCATCACTTTATCACTTAGCTTTTGTTGTCACAAATAAGATGGGCCATGGGCCATGGGGTTTCTGTGGGAATGTCTGAAGATAGGAGTGCCCCAAGCTTTGTATTTTTCAACCAAAACAGAAGGGCTTGGGCACCCATGGGCACATATAATTGAAGATAACTTGGCATTGATTATTGGCCGCTCAACGTAGTTTCAATGGACTTAGTAGTGGCAACCGTCAGATTATATCTATCTTATGTATTTATTTTTACGTGCGTACATATGCATAAGCCAGGTCACGATGATTACTTCTGATTGCCGGGATGCGCGTCCAAGTGGGGTAAAGCGTGCTCTTTTTCACCAAAAAAAGTTGAAGTAAATACACCCAAGAAACAGGACTTTTTCTTGGCAAAACTTCCGCAAGGTTTACTCAGCAGTCAATCTTCACAGGCACAAAGTTAATTAATGTGTTCTACCAAGAAAAAGATAGGTATTAGAGCAAACAAGGCTTGCATGTGGTTTCCAGTAGGGGTTGCTTTCCGTTCCAATTGGGGTTGAGGACTGCCCGAAGCATTTCATTTTTTCCAGGAGGCAGTGAAAGCACGACAAGATGTGATGATGTTTCAACCCGAAAGGCTTCACTTCACGTTTCAAAAATGCAACCAAAAATCCATGGTTCATGGTGGGTTTGTTGAGCTGTCTCGCATTTTTGCGCCAACCCATATGTTCCACCATCATGTTCCCAATCCCATGCACATTTACCCCCATAATATTTCCAGTAAATCCTCATTAAATACTTGGTTCATCCGTGTCCCTTTGCATTTAACACAACTACGATCAATCAGCCATTCAATACAACACTGATTTGCATGAACACAGCTCATGCGTTTCCGTTTGAGGATTAATCAGCTATTGAATAGATTAATAATAGAATACAGCCAAGCCCCATCAATATATCAATATAACTTAACAATTCATCAGTCATATCTTGAGAACTCCACAGGCTACTGGTGCTGGGCGTGGTCTTGGTGCAGCTCGCCACTTTCAAGGCAAAACTGGGCTGGGATAGATGTCACGTTTCATGGATTAAGGAACCAACCGACTTCTGGGGAAAAACCTTTATATGTCCATTTATTATGGTTAGGTATGATGGTTCTAAAGATTGTTTCTGATGTATCCACGGTTTATTCATGCCATATGTTTCCCATTCCGGATGGGTTACAGCCATGCAGTACAAATCTAGATGTTTAGTGCCGGAGTTGGATGGATTTACCAGATAACCCCGTAAAGATCAAACTTTAGCCATGCGAAACCCATGTTCTGAGTCATGGGGACGTGTACCCACCGATGATCTGTTCACAGTAAGGTGGGGGTGCGGTGAGGATAGACCCCAGTGCCTACTTCCCTCTAAAGATGGGCGAGCCTGCAAGGTTTATGCTAGTTGAGGGGTATGGCAAATCCCCAACTTCAACGGTAGAATTGGACCTATGGTTGTTTCAGCTCTACATTCCAACCATGATAAGAAGAACATGCAACTATCAGTATACACACGGAAAGTTGAAGGATACTGCGTGAAAAGTGTCGTTTTTGTCTTGGTGAGCCTATGGGTTGCCTAAAATCCTAATGGGATTCCGCAGGAAGATGGCTCGAGCTCCCAGCGTCACAGCCTCAGCTGTGGCACGCGACTTTTGAACTGTATTCACGTCAGAACAGTTGTTGGATGTTTGGCAAGATGCCGTTCAATGCCATAGTGGAGGTTTCGAAGCAGGTGCCATGGCACCACGTAACATGTGCTTATGGCTCAAGATTATCGACGTCATTAGGACACCATCCCACTAGAGACCAAAGCTTAGATGGTTGACCCCCCATCGCTGCCATAGTTCACCAACAATTGCATGGCAAAGCCAGGTGCCACGGGTTGGGGCGGACAAATCGCAGGCGCTACCTGCGACCACCTTTGCGGACCACCCGAAATCGGGGAGAAAGCATGGCTATATGTGGCCGTTCTTCATCCTTCCAAACAAGGATGATCAATTTATGAAAGGTAATCTGAATATATCTGAATTTAGTGCGAAATCGGGGAGAAAGCATGGCTATATGTGGCCGTTCTTCATCCTTCCAAACAAGGATGATCAATTTATGAAAGGTAATCTGAAT